GTTCTAGTGCTTCCTCCCCCCTCCTCCTTTTATTGTTTACTCCAGAAATCCCCTCACCCTCCTTCTCTCCCACCCTCCACCCCTATAACCCCTATAAACCCTGCCATTAGTTATGATTTCTATGCACCCGCTGCTTCACAAACTGGAAAGAAAACCCAACAGAAACAATAAAAACAAAAATGAAACGAAATGGTAAGGATAAAATAATAAGACTATAAAGATAATAAAATAATGAGTAAGACCACCATCAATATTTAAAGAACCAGGGATGACATTTTTGTCATGGAATAAGCAAGAGCTATTTGCACCTAGAACAAATTCAGGTTGGATCAAGAGGGAAGTCCACTGACCAAGCACCAAGTTCCATCCAGCATAATCAAGATTACAATGATCTCTGTTTGATAGTAGGCTTGCCTGTGGCTAGAGGGGATCTGCGGGCAGCTCAGTCTGACTAGCTCCTCTGCAGATGGGTTTGGGGCACCCATTGTCCTCCATAGCCTTCTGCAAATTGGGTGTTCATAATTTTACCTCTGATACTTTTCCCTTCATCATATTTGAATTTTGTTATTGTCACCTTTGGATCACATAAGCTGATATGCTTCTTCTATGTGGACTTACTTGACTCCTCACTTAGATGGCTTCTTGTTTGAATACAAGCTTTTGAGACTCCAGACACTATTCTGCTTGATAGCCGGGCACCGTCTGCTTTCTACCCTTGATCTTAGCCAAAAGGCTGAGAAGTGATTCCATCTACTTTCTTCACCACACTTTGCACCCTTATCTTCAGTGATCATTTCAGGCAGGTGAGAATCGAGCCGGGCCATGTTATCAGAACTAACTGTTCTTGAATTGGAGCTGGAGTTAAGCAGAAGCCCAGAATCCATCTGCTTGTCCCTGGGATATGCATGACTCGGGTTTACTTTGGCAGTTGCAGTGTGACAAAATCAAAACCCCATAAAACCAACTACCCCAACAAGAGCAACAAACCAACCAGCAAACAGACAAATAAGCAAAAATAAACAAGCTAAAGACAGGAAAACAAAAAAGTACAACACTGTCAATCATCCCCCTGGGCCATAAGGCGATTGCTCTGATAACATCATCCATTTTCCCAGTCACACAGCACTCAGGACTCTGTCCGTATGAAGAGTCTATGCAAATACAGTTCCACCATGTGCCGCAACCCTTAGTTGTTTGTCTACACAGTTCTATCTCCCATTCTGTTGAGCTCTGTTTACCCCAAATATGGGGAATGGTGCCACGGGGGAACATCCTGGATCAATTCTTCCAAGTGCAGATTCCTACCCAACAGATCAAAACCTGTCATGTCTCTGCGAGGGGGCACCAAGGTTCTAAATATATGGTGATCCTGGGTCCCTTTCCTTTGGACCCCCACTGAGCTGGGGATTTCCCCCCCTAAGTCCAACGACTGCCACGTCCATAGTCCTGGGGAAGCCACTCTCTGCTTCCTCTTCCATCCGAGTACCCCAGTCCTCAGTCCACAGGTGCAGGAAACTTCAGGGCAGGGCTCAGCTCATTCTGTCGGGCCTCCATGTTAAGTCCTTCTGGTGTAGCCGCTGAGTTATGCCATGCTGCCTGTAAAGTGAGCATCCAAGGTCATCATGGTGCTTAGTCCATGCCCTGGTGCACCGAGGGTTGCATAGAAGCATATTTTTAGTGTCCCATTTCAGTTTTTACCACTTCACATTCTCCTAGAGTCATACTAGGAGGATGCGTTCCACATTCTCATTACTTACAGATGTTTACAGCTCTGGCTTCTTCGTTTGATTCGTGCCACATGGGCAAACGAAACCCCCCAAAATTCGAATCCAGTGACACCACTAGGGTCAACTCTGCTTTGAGGAGGCAACTTTCCCCAGCTGTAATTTAGAGCCTTCCATCCTGAGGGACCCATCACCTGTCACTATGTTAGACAATGTTCTGCGCCATTTATAAGGTCTTCACTGGCCAGCTTCATTTTAGAAATGGGTGGCCAGATCCTTTTTTCTAGTCTGCCTTAGTCTGGAAGCTCCCTTGAAATCTATCCACCACGGGAGACCTTTGCGGCATTTGAAGTATGATTGGCATAGCTCCCTGCATTATGGCAGCATGCAAGCCACCACAGTAGGTCAAGCTAGCAGAGCGTGGTGATGAGAAGTTAGGGGGTAACAAATGGAACACAATGGTGGTGGAAACACTGTGGGTCAAGATAGTGCGAATGAACGTATGCTGTGCTGTGTACATTGTCACCAAAAATAAAATACACGTTAAAAAAGGACAGGTTATTTTCTGTTATAAATGCATTTAAAATATTTTGTTGGGGGCTCTTACAGCTCTCATAACAATCCATACATCCATTGTGTCAAGCACATTTGTACATAGGTTGCCATCATCCTTTTCAAACATTTTCTTTCTACTTGAGCCTTTGATATCAAATCCTCATTTTTTCATCCCTCTCACACCCTCCCAACCTCATGAACCCTTGACAAAGTATAAATTATTATTTTCATATCTTACACCATCCACTGTCTCCCTTCACCCATTTTTGTTGTTGTTGTTTGTCACCCTGGGGGTGGAGGGGCGGGTTATATGTCGATCATTGGAGTTGGTTCTCCCTTTCTCCCCCCACCTTCCCCTACCTCCATGGTATCTCTACTCCCATTATTGTTCCGGAGGGGTTTATCTGTCCTGATTCCGTGTGTCTAGAGCTCTTATCTGTACCAGCGTACATGCTCTAGTCTAGCCAAATTTGTAAGGTAGAATTAGGGTAATGATAATGGGAGATGGGGGGTGTGTGTGAAATAGTTTATTGTGCCAGCCTGGCCGATAAACACAAGTGGGATTAACTGAAGGGCAGAGAGTTAAATGCCTTGGTGAGCCTCATCTTTCTTGTCTCTTGCTCTTTGATCATCAGACCAGTGCGCGGCTGCCTTGCTTGTCCTGTGCCTCAATTTAAAGGCTACACTACCTGTGGGACGCCTAGCCTGTGCACTGTGTCACTGTAAGTTGAGGTCCCTTTAAGATATCGCTGGAGCTGGGGACTGGCAGTTGGTGACCTGCCTT